GCCCAAATTTGCTCAGTCACTATAGGTTTCAGGAATATCACATAAATGACTCACTCAGTGTGTTTGGCATCTCTTATATAGCATGATGCTTTGGGGATTCATCCAAGTTGTTGCATCTATCAGTAATATGTTCCTTTTATTGCCAAGTAGTATTTTATTGTATGGCATGCCACATTTTCTTTCTTTTTTTTTTTTTTTTTTTTTTAAAGATTTATTTATTTATTTATACATGCACTGGGTACAGCCAGAAGTGCGGGAGGGGAGAGAATTCACCAGAGCCAGAGCGGGGAGCAGAGCAGGCAGAAGGACAGAAGTACACTGCTGAGGGGAGCAGCGGGTGCAGCAAGAGAAGTCTGCGCGCCACGTGGGACCCTCGGCTGGCAGCCGGGTATCGAACCGGCGCTGCAGAGGCTGCGGGCAGCTTCGCAATCCAGCGCTCAACCGCTGCGCCACCGGGGAGGCCCGACATACCACATTTTCTTATCCCTTCACCAACTGATAGAAATTTAGGGTGTTTCTGGTTTGTGACTATTACAAATACCACTATTATGAACATTTCAGTACAAGTCATTGTGAAAACACATGTCTTAATTTTTCTTGGGTAAATACCTAGGAGTAGAAGGGCCAAGCCATATGGTTTGTACATATTTAACTTTGTAAGAAACTGCCAAACTGCTGAATTTTTTCCACACTTGTGTTTTCACCAACAGTGTATGAGAACTCTGTGGTTTTTTTTTTAAACAAGAAGTTTGTGGTATCTTTTTATACAGAACATTCAAATTGTAACATTATTCACATTATCAATCTTTTTCTCTACAGTCAGTGCTTTTAGGGATGTATAGAATACTTCATAATTTGGTTCTTCATGCTGTGATTCTCATATTTGTAATTTCTCCGGAGAGGATTTTTAGATTTTTTTTTTTACATTTCCCATAATGGTTCATAGGCAATGTACATTTAACTTACTATGTTCAATAATGTAGCATTTTGTTGTCATTGCAGAACAATGTGATATGAGATTGAGGGTAAGAGTTTAAAGTACTCAATTAAGAAAATTACATTTCATGTAACTAAAATTCTCTGAATTCTTTTCTCAATTCAGTTCAGAATGGAGTTCTGTTCAAGTGTTCAAGTTTCAATACTTGAAAACATAAACTTTTTTCTATAAAAGACTAACTAGTAAGTATTTCAGGCTGTGCAGACCATATGGTCTTTGTCCCAACTACTCAACTACTCAGTATAGGGCAAAAGCAGTTGCTAACAATATATAAATAAATGAGCATGATTATGTTCCAAAATAACTTAATTTATGAACTCTGAAATTTGAACTTCATGTAATTTTTATGTGGCACAAAATATTTTCTTTGATTGTCCCAACCATTAAAAAACATAAAAACCAAACATTGTTTGTGGCCTATGGAACAGGCAAAGAGCCAGACCTGGCCCACGGACAGCAGTGTGCCAGCCCCTGATTTAGAGTACAAGCCTCCTGACATTCCTATAAGGAAGTGGGTAATATCGCTCCTCCATTTTCACAATAGAGCAGTAGGACCGAAGAGATGTTAGTGTTCATCCAGTTTTGCTTCCTTCTCTTACTTTCCTCCATTTTTCTGTGCAAAGAGGGAACATGATTGACTTCAGGTCATGTAGCCAGTGGATGGCAATGCCAGACTGGACCTCAGGTGTCTTGATTTAAGCCTATCGCCTTCCTCTACTCAGTTCCAAAAATCCAAAATTAAAACTACATTACGGTGACAAAAATCCTTCTATCACATCCTCATCATCAGTCAATCCCTTCTTAAGATTTATTTATGCATATAAGAACTAGGGTCTAGGCCAGAGGCGCAGGGGAAAAGAGGATTCACCAGAGACAGAGCAGGGAGCAGAACAGGCAGATCCACTGAAATACACTGCTAAGGGGAGCAGCTGGTGAGACAGGAGAGGTCTGCTGCGCCATGTGGGTAGCTCCCTGGTCGGGGATCAAACTACTGCAGTGGCAGACAATAGTTTTATAGGGCTGAGACTTAACCCCTGCATCACCAGGGAGGCCCAAGGCCAAATCCCTTTTTTTTTTACCCTAAAGGAATTTATTCTAATAGCTTAAAATTAAGGACTCATTAAGTTCAAGTCTTAATATTTAATATATATCTCTAAAAGCTATACAATTAAATTAACAGTGACGACTGCATTCTAAATTTAGAGAATTTTGCTTAGTGAGGTTACATAATGACATCTAAAGGAAAATTAGACATAGAATTAAAATTGGTTAAATAGTAAAATATCATTAAGGCCCCTAAATTCCAAAAAGCCTATAGAAGCTCTCCACAGCAAATTTCATTCCAGAATTTTGAAGATGAAAAGAATAGCAGTTCAGTTATAAGTCACAGAGGAATTCCCCTGCATATGGGATTGGCTAGCATGGGGGCTCCAGGCCTGTGGTTAGGGTTCTCACTATGCAGAATGCCTAAAACCCCAGCTCCAGGAGAGCTCCCTTGCACAAAGCTGTGCACAAAGCTGTGTTCCCTGGTATATACAAGTGCTCAATAAATGGTGGTTATAGGATCAAAATCAGGCTGCAGGAAGTGACTCTTGAGAACGAAACTTAAATTTTTTCAGGGGTATTGTTTCATCAGCTTTGAGACCTTCTTTGCAAAAACCTCATAGGATTTCTTCCCCCCCCCCGCCCCCCAGGAGCCCCATTGGAGGGTAGTCGCCTTCACACCCTGAATAATTATCTTCTCATCCTGTCACCTAGCCTGTCACTTCCCTTAGCCTGTCACCTAGGTTTGGAGTTATTTTGCTTTCTGGATGCAGAAAGTAAATGCATTGAAATGATGTATTTTCATACAAATAATGAATGCATTGAAAATACTTCCCCTAAACTATCAAACAATTGAAAATTCAATAAGAGCAGCTAATATGTATGAATGAGTCAGAATGTTCAAAATGCAGACATTTCTAAAAAGTCCGAAGAATAAGAAATTCCGGGAATAATCTATTACCTACACATTTCTATTTTCTTTGGAAGTTGTAATTCTCAGCAAACATTAATCAAGTCATCCTACTATCTTTTAGGTTATTTCCCCCATTATACAGATAGTCATTCAGCAGAAGATAAATGACTTGTTGCCAAGGTCACATAGAGAATATAAGTCTAAGTAAGTCATGATTTCAGCCCTCTCTCCTGCTATCTGGTACAGTAAAGGGAGGTCTGATGATGACTTCTACAGGCTTCCTTGGTGGCGTGTATATTTGCTGCTCACTGCTACACCCTATTGATAGGAGAAGGGATCTCAAGAACAGCACAGCACTTCTCAAAGTTAGATGCTGGGAGTGGTAGTATCAACATCACTAAAGAACTGGTGGAAAGGGCTTCCCTGGTGGCTCAAGGGATTAAGTCTCAGCACTATGAACTATCCACTGCCAGTGCAGCATGAGCTCGATTCCCGGCCAGGGAGACAACACACATGGTGCAATAGACCTCTCCTGTCTCTCCCACTGCTCCCCTCAGCAGTGTATTTCAGTCAATCTGCCTGTTCTGCTCCCCATTCTGTCTCTGGTAAATCCTCTCAGTGGCCCCCACCCCCACCTCTCTGGCCTGCACCCCAGCTCTTGTACGCATAAATAAATAAATCTTTAAACAAAACAAACAAACAAAGAACAGGTGGGAAATTCAAATTATGGGGCCCCACTCAGGAACACTGATTCAGAAACTCTTGGCAGTGGGACTCAGGAGTCTGTGTTTTAACAAACTTCCCGGTGATTCTGCTGCAAGATGATATTACTTTTCTACTTTAGGTACTGGCCTCTAGTCACTCTAAAAATAATAAAGCCTTGGCACAATGCTTCTGTCCTCAGGCTTCATATGTAGAATATTCCACTATGTCGCATAAAAAGCTCTATCCTGGCCAATCATTGCCAGGTGGGTTTGCAGTAGCTTGGTGAGGTCAGCTAGGGAGGAATTACACATCTGTTTTATAGACGAAGAGACTGAGGCTCAGGGAAGACCAAATTATGTGTCCAGGGTTACTCAGATTTAAGTAGGGCTAAATTCAAATCCAAGTCTTCCATTTGTACATTCATGGCCAGGCCTGCTTTAGTTACGCTATTGGAATTGCTGACATTGTGGGCCAAATGATTCTTGTGGGTGCCATCATATAGATTGTAGGATGTTTAGCAGCACCCATGCCTCTATCCACTGGATACTAGCAGCACCTCACCCTAGATGTGACAACCAAAAATTACCCCAATATTCCCAGTGTCCCCCATGGGACAAAGTAAACTGTTGTTGAAAACCATTGACCTACATCCTACACACAAATGGAGAAAAATGTAAAGATTCATGTTCTGCAAATTTTGAACTCTTCGGAGATAACTTCAGAACAAATTGCTCATGTTTGAGCTGTAGGATATCTATGAAGTGAAGGAACCAGACTAAAAGTCTGCACAATGCTTTCCCCACTCCTGAAGAAAACTAACAATAATTCTGTATTATCACCTGGTGTCCAAAGTGTGTTCAAATTTCCCTGATTCTAAGAATATTTTTCATAGCTTTTTCTTTCTTTATGTGAGGATTTGATCTAAAATCTCAAGTTGCTTTGACTGTTATGTCTGTTTAGACTCTTTAAGAATCAGGATCAGCAAACTCTAGTCCGTGGACCCTCTCTGACCCAATGTCTGTTTTTCTAAATGCTCTTTTGCTGGAACTCGGCCATGCTCTTCCATTTATGTTTATGCTTTCTTTAATGCTACAATAGCAGAGTTGAGCAGATGTGACAGAGACCGTGTAGCCCACAAAGCCAAAAATATTTCCTTCCTGGCTTTCACAGAAAAATTTATTGATCTGTGACCTAGAATTATACCCTCACCTTTATTTTCAATTGTCATACTATGTGTTTCAAGAGTTCAGAACAATTGTTTATAAAAAATCTCTTACTTTAGATTAACATGATTATATACATTTAATTTTTAATGGAAATTTCACATACTATGTACATATATTTTATAATATAAAATACAAGAATGTCAGTGCTCTATGGGGCAGTGTTAAACATTTTTTAATTTGTCAAGCACTATAAATAAAAATGAAAGGCCAGCAACAACTTGGGAAAAACATTGCACTTCCAAGATATTGTCTGTTTTCAGACTTTATTTTTCAGGAAGGAGAAAAAAGAAATGTCATGTCTCACATGGTAGATGGTTTTAGTTACAAATGGAGATACAAACTTTACTGATCAAGTTTCTAAATATATCACTTAAACAGGAAAACCAGGGACCTCCTTCTCTGGAAAAATAATAATACATGATTTCAAACGCAAGCGCCAGCATGTATAGAAATTTAGATGTAGCTAGAGGAGTGTGAGTACTCCAAGTGCAGGCCCATGCACCTAGCAACATGCATAATATACAGAAAGCACTAACGAAATGCCCATGGAATAAATGAATGAATGAATGTCATTCCTTCACATAGCTAGTCATGGCAGATTGTCAGGAAAATATTCCCACTTGTTTATAAGATAAGCTTTTTCTTTTTAGTTTAACAACCACACACCACATATTTAAGACTTGACCTTTATCATTCTTCTGGCAGATCATACATGTTCATTGAAATACAATTTGGTTAGTTTGGACTGTGATCTTAAGGACAGGAACACATTCATTCCATGCATCTGGCCATATGGAAAGCTAGAAAGTGTCCAACCTAGGTCAGGCTCTAATAAACAGGACCTTTGCCACTATTCAGTTGACACGGTACATCTATCCACAAATCACCTATCAGCATAAGTGAAACTCAAATCACAATGAAAGAAAGTAGGGCTAACTACTTTTCTCAGTAATACAACATGTCTGAGGTTTCATGCAGTATCATTCCTCTTCATTTCACTGTAATGACATTTAATCCATAAAAAAAGTAGACCTCCTTGAACCAAAGTATATATTTAGAGTAATCTTCAGTGAAAAAAGTGAAAAGGAATCCATCTAGCACAGCTCATGTAAAGAGTGGCATCAAATAGTAAGCCATTGTTCAGAAATAAGGCTGAATATTTAAAGAATTTCTGGTTAGTTCTTGAGCAGTGGATCTTTTTCCTTGTTTCCAGGGAAGAACACGGCCTTTGCACGGCTGAGGAAAATATTCAGGCCTCTGCCTTTGACCACGATCCCAGTACTGTTTTCTATTGGTTTATATTCCTTGTGTTTTCTGAAAGCAATGTGTTAGATAGATTAAGAAAAGCTCTCCAGCTGGAATACATTACTTTGTACAATCCTTTACATACCAAATGCCAAATGGTTAATTCCATTTAACATAATCTATGGCTTGTATGACAATATGAAAATATATTTATTTTCTCTTCTTCATGCAAGAAATGTGCCTGCTTACTATAACTTGAGATTATATGTTAAACATTAGGCTGACAATTTTGTAAAGCTTATGACATCTGGTAGCATTTTTAGGATTAAAAAAAAACCACAGCAAAATTAACAGGCTACTTTGGTATTCAATGGAAGATTTTCCTCCCACAAACAAAATATTTGGAAGCAAAAAAAAGACTCATGCAAACATATGCTATTTATTTTTGACAATACACTCTAGAGACTTAAGGTGTTAAAACTGGCAACTTACTTGTACATGAAGAAGGCAATCACAGTGATAAATATAGCCAAGCAACCAATGGAGATCAGGACACCATTTGCCATTCTAAGAGGGGAGGCTGTGTCTTAAAACAGAGCGAGACCATGTTAGTGATATCCTCTACCTAAAGAACATATTGCAATTAAAGAACATGTAATGCAATTAAATAAATGAGGAAACAAGGCCTTCAGAAGATATTTGGCTCCCTCTGACCTTTCAGTAATCTTCTCCATTAATAATACATAGTCTTTGGGTCAGCTTATCTTCCATTAGGAGAATGAATTAGCATGTCTGGAACATTGTGTTAAAGGCTCAGGAGGGAGCTGTCACGTCCTGGATACACCTGCCAGGATGTCAGCTGGCCCAGCCGTGCCCATGTAGCCAAGGGTTCCCTCTTGCCTCATCTTTTACTACTACTTTTTAGTTGTGTTAAAAATCCTGGGAGGTGCTCATTCTCCCCATGCTCTTGCAAATCTCCAAGTCCTCTGCTGGGTATATGCTTCTTCCAGCTGACCTCAAGTGTCCCTCCCTTCAGGATACCTTCTAGACGGTCATGAGAGCTTGGATCATGCCTTCCTTTGTCACTATTCTACTTCCCTCTTCCTCTGCCTTCTTCACGTTGCATTTGTAATTACTTCTTTACATATAGTTCTTTCCTCTAGATTCTGAGAACCATGAACTGGGATTATGTCCTCTTTTAGAATTTAGCAAATCAACTACTCTTGCTCTACCACCAACATATTACCAGAGTTTATTTATTTTTCCTCTATCTTCTCTGCCACCATTGCAGGTCCAGCCACCAGCATTCTCTCCTGAAAGGACCTCTGAATTGTCTACCTGCTTCGTCTTTTTCCTTCCAACAATCTTGGCTTTATTCATCAGTCAGTCATCAGTGATCTTCTGAAAACATCAATCAGATTATGTTTCAAGCCCACCAAAAGCTTCCCTTATGTACAGCACAAACCCCAAACTCCACCAGTGGCAGACAAGGATCTAAATGGGTTGCTGTTATTCTTGAAATTGAGGTCTCAGTTCAGAGGATACCCTTCACCAAGTGGGAGCTGCTGTGCACAGGACAGTCTTTGACTTCCCCATCTGGAGAGTCAACCTCTGTCCCCTATCTCCTATGCTTGTCACTCTGACCTCTCTCTGACCTTGTTTTATTTTTTTCACAATATCATCTTATTTCTATATTGTCTGGTTCTGCTCACAAAAGCAGAACCATGCTCCACACTGGAGACTGTATGTTTCAAGCCTAGAGTTGTGATGCATATGGAGTTGATGCTCAATGATTATGGCAGGTGCTTCATGAGTGTTCACTGAATCAATGCATATAATAATTTCATCTGAAAGTCAATGAGTTTGTCTTTGACAATGATCTATTTTGGAAATTCTGACTTTGAAACCCAAGTCATCAAGGTACAGTCCCCACTGGATTAAATACTCTCCATTTGAGTTTCCTTCATTTGGATTTGGAAATGACTCAGGTCACAACAAATGTTTGCACTCAGTACATGAAGAATGAAAGGAAAGCAAATATCTAAGCCTCTAAGCCAGACAAGAGAACAGAGGTTTGCCAGTGATGGAAATTTCATAGACTAGGTAATGACCCTAAAGGGGATTCTAAAAGAAATAACCACAACAGTTCCTGGAGGTGACAGTGTGAAGATCCACATACACTGAATACAGAGGTGTCACCTGCCCCACCTGGGCCTGCCCCCTGTAACCCAGGCCTCAATGCACCTCGCCCTGTATAAAGCAGGCAGCTTTGTATCTTTGTTTTAAAGTTTGTATCTGGATCTTACCAACAAAAGCTCTCATACAAATAATTACATGTACGATAACTTAGCTTTTGCCTTTTATATGGTTAGTGAGTAAATACATGTTTAAGTACATTTAACCTTGTGAGATAAACTTTAAGTCCAGAGGGGTTATTTGTGAATTAGTTAATAGACTATCTCTGACAATGCCTAAAGGAAGGGGCATAATAAGGTGTGTAATGTGTATATAACTTAACCTCTCTCTTCCATTCCACCAGGTAGCACTTCTTTTTAAGATAAAGCAGTTCTTACAACCAAGTTGGTTATGAGTGAAATTCAGGTAAGGTTACCAGGTAGAACCCTTAATATTGAGGGTGGGGAAAATTGAAAGCCACCAGTAAATGAAAATTCCCCAGTGGAATTCCTTAGTCTGCTCTGGTAGCATTTGCTTGTCCAAGCAAAGTGTGGTTTGTTTGGTTATTGTCTCTGTGGGGTGCTGGTAGAATCTGGGAAGGGGCAGAGGGACACATGGTGAATGTAAGGGAGCCAGGAGTCTGCTTGGTTCTTCTTCCTCTTCAGCTTCATATTTTTGCTCAGGTGGATTCTAGTGACAACATGATACCAGCCTCTCCTAACGTTCATGTTTAATTGAAGGACATTGTTATTTTCATTATTGAAACTTACACTTTCCCCTTGAAATTCAAAATCTATTCCAGCATGAAGTGATCATATTCTATTACGGGCCCATGATCACAACTGATTTATTTTCACCAAAAGGCTGTTCTTTGGCCACTATTTAACTGGGTCTCTCTCATCTCTTCCCTAAGTAGAGTTTCTGTTGAATTATAATGCCAGTTCTCAAATCCATATGACAATAATTCAATGAATTTTGCTCTGAAATCAAATTAAACATTAATCACAAAGGCCTGAATAGCTTTAGCATTGGATGCACACTTTATCTGCAATGTGAAATACTCGTAAAACCATGGAACAAACTCACCTTTACCAGGAATGGAGACGAGGGTGCTGGTGAAGGCCAGGCTGGCATCATCACCCAGAGTGAGGTTCAGACAGTATGTTCCAGACCTGCTGAAGGCTCTTCTCACCGTCAGCAAGCAGGGGTAGCCTGTGTCCACATTCACAGGGTCGCAGACTGTGTTCTGCGGAATTTGGCAAGTGGGGTCGGAAATTATGGTACAGACCTCTGTGGGAATTCTGAGGGTACAGAGACAGCGGGGGAGAGAGGAGTTCAAAGTCAGTTTAACAAGGTGAATCATGACCTTTCTACAGAATCAAATCCCACCTTTCTCCTGCTGAAACTACAAGCTGAATTGTCACGTAGGCTTTACTCTTAACCAAGCCTGGGTGATGAACTACTGTTCCTCTGTATCTTCAGGAAGGTGAGTCAGGGGCTGTTAGAGGCTGTATGAGGCCCAAGTCATTCCTCCCACACTGACCCCCTAGGATGCCCAAAGAAGCAGATAGCTTGATGTTAGGCAAAGAGCACGACAAGCTGCAGCTGGCCCTGCCTAGGTTGCTGTAGAGAAATGACAACGGCAATCGCACAGCAGCTGTTCATGCAGTGTCTACTGGGTGAGAGGCACTGAGTTTAGATCTATGACACGGTCATTCCTTTGATGACCTTATGAGGAAAGTAACATTATCCCAGTGTAGCAGGTGACAAAGCAGCTTGGAGAAGGAAAATCACGGACCCCAGGCCATTCAGAAAAGAACAAACTTATGATTGCTGATTTTAAGTGGAGGATTTCAATGGTGTTTGTAGGTTAAAAAATTAAAATTGGGGATCATTCAGCATCATTTTCCACTTCATACAACTTTTCTAGAGCTTCCCCAAGTTATTCTGAAAAACAGATTATACACAATATAATTAAATAGATGACCTTGGGAAGGAGCCAGATGAGCCATAACCTTACCCAGAACATAGGTTCTACTTCTTTCTCATAAGCGCTAACATCACCAGGACCCCATGTCTCATCCTTAGCTAAGCAGGTAGAAGTGGAGCTGGGACTTGAACAAAAGATGTCTGCCAACTGTCCTTGTGACCAACAGGCAACCTGGCCATGCCTCACTGTCTTAGCCATGATGCTCGTGGGCAGACTTCCTGGGTGGGGAAATCAGGCTCTGAGGCTGGGGTTGATGAGGGTATGGGGTACAAGGGAGAACACACTTTCCTCCCATCTGGCCCCTAGCCCCTGACCCCTAAAGCAGTTTTACTCCTTCAGTCAGGTTTTCCTCTATTCCCTGTCATCCTCATTCTACTCCTCTCCCCAGGCCAGAGAGCTTCTTAGCGAGTCCACTTATCAATTAAGATGGATTTTTATACTGTTCCATTCTCTTGATTATTTTATACATTTACATACACATATATTTTACTCAATTTACATGTTATATGTAAGTTAGTCAATGTATTAATATATTTAACTAGTTAATTGAATAGTATTTGTATTCATTTATATGTAGTCTATTATATATAGTTCTATTCAAATTATAGGAAACCAAATTATATAATGCATTAGAAGGAGCTTTGTAAATCAGAGAGAGACTGGATTATCGGGCTTTGCTTTTAAGGGGAGACCATGTCTACAATTTCACACTGGCCTCCTGCCACCCTGGGAAAATTAATCAGGAAGATTAAGGGTGGGGGTCCAGCGAAACAAGTACATGTTCCTCAGGCTCCTTGTAAGTCCTTTCTTGTCCTGGCTTACTGATGAATCAGGAATTTAAATCAGCTTAGAAAAGGGACTGGTGTCAAGGCCTTTGTTCAGGCTGGGGTCCCCACTTGACCTGTTCCTCTGACCAAGACAATGTACTCACGTCCCCTGGCAGGTCACGACAAAATCCACCAGGGAGTCGTCAGGCTGTGGCATGGGCATCAGGACATCTGTCATCTGGATGATGTTAACCTCCAGAATTCCCTCTAACAAAACAACCCCCATAGAAAAACATATCAAAATACAACAGAAGCCAAACCAAACCACCCCTCTCCTTAACCAGTCAGAGACCAAACAAAATAGAGGCAGCCTTTTTTGTCAGATCTGGGAATCTACCCATAGCTTTGGAGACATGTCCCTGTGGCATTTTCATATCAAATGGAATTCATTTGATTTATTCCTCAGTCCAACTTAGAACTTTATTTCTGGAGCCTGTGAGTGTTAGATAGCAGCACCCTCTCAGCAGGTGTTTTAGGTGTTTAAGAGTGCAGCCCCCAGGCTCAGGGCTTGGCCTGTGTCTTTGGAGCAGAGGTGGGTCAGTTCCAGGATGTGCTGTGGGTCTTAAGGCCCCCATCCCCACCCAGAACCAGGATATACAGCGTGGACTTTGCTCCCCACCTGTCTTCTCTGTCGAGCACTTATGGGCAGTGCCCACACGTACAACCACGTGTGGTGGCTATGTTCATTCCCCTTTCACATGGATGTGACTTTGTGAAGTCAGCTAGAAGAAAAGTGGAAGCTGTGGGAACATTATACTGGCCTTCCACTGAAGGCACACGCATCCAGATGGTTGGCATACACAGGGTGGGGGATCCTGGCAAACTAACAGGCCTCGTGGGGGGCTCATTTCCACCAAGCTAAGGAAGGTTGGGGTAGGCAGGTGGCAATCTAGAAACTAGAAGAGTCTTTGCTCAAGCACATGTGGTATCACCTCAGTCACGGTGCCCCTGCTTCCCATGGCCACCCCTCCAGAGTCAGTGAAGTGAGGGGGTGTTTCATGGTGGACACCAACATCCTTTCCCCACTGGTCTTACCTATAATTGTGATGCTGGCTGTAAAGTAACCATTTCTGATAATCTGGCAGTTTTCATCAGAACTCTCTCTCAACTCCCAGGGGTTGTCACTAGTAGGCACTGGAGAGTTTGTTAGAGTAGTTGTTAACAATGTAAAAGATGTATGACATAATGAAAAATCAAAAATTGTCTGCCTGCTCTCTAGAAAAACATCAAGAATTCTGTATAATTAAATGCTGCAGGGCCTCCCTGGTGGTGCAAGTGGTTAAGTATCAGCCATATAAAGTTATCAGCAGCCACTGCAGCAAGAGTTTGATCCCCGGCCAGGGAGCTAACCCACATGGCACAGCAGACTTCTCCTGTCTTGCCCGCTGCTCCCCTTAGGAGTGTGTTTCAGTAGATCTGCCTGTTCTGTTCCCCACTCTGTCTGTTGAATCCTCTCACCTCCCTGCACCTCTGGTCTACATCCCGGTTTTTGTGTGCAGAACTAAATAAAATAAGTCTTTTTAAAAAATATGTAAAAAAAAAAACAACTCCCAAATGTTGCTAGGATTTAAATCTTTGGGGAGTGTATTACAGGGACTTTCACTTTTATTCTAGACTTCTATATTGTTTGATTTTTTACTAAGGAACATGCATTTATTTTGTAATTTTACACACTTCAAAAAAGTGTTCATCAAAATCAGTGTCTTATATGCATCTTGATTTAGAAAGACCTTACTTTATTAATACCACCTATAACATTTTATTATTTAGATTGAACAGTTTTTGGTGAAAAGAACTGCAGCAAGTCCAAGAAATAGGTGGTGTTTCCTCTAGGCTTGGTGATGGCGCCCTCTTGTGTCCATTCAGAGGATGTCGGGCTAATACTACTGCCTGGATGCCGGTGCAAAGGGCTGTGATAGTACCTTATGGGGTGGGGAATCCGATGGAATTTACTTCCCAAAATAGACTCTCAAGAACTTCTCAAGTTGTTTTCATGCATTACTAGTCGAGGGTGGGGTTTAGTTAAATATGCCTTATCCAGAACAATTTTAATATCTAGACTCTTTCCAACTTGATAGCTTAGAAATACTCTCAAGATACATTCTTTCTTGAGCCATTGGGAAACTTTCAAGTGTGGCTGTGTTTTTATGGGAGGTTGGGTGTATGTGGACAGGTAGGGAGGAGACTGGAGTGGGGACAAATGTGAGAGGGGGAGTAAGGAGAGTGAATATTTATAATGAGTCAATGTATGTTCTCATAGCTACCAAAAAAGGGTGCGGGAGACAAGCAGAGAAGTGACATGCTAGAAGGAGGAAAGCATCTGTGCCATAATGCAGGCCAGTGTGAATTAGGACAGCTGAAGAGCTTTATGGGAGTCACCAAATTCTATTTGCAAAGTGACTTCAAACACATTCCTTTCTTCCCTATTCTAAAAGCTTAAAATAGTCACATAAAGAAACCAAAAGCTATGAAATAGAATAATTTCTTTTAACAACCATTTTCATGAGAGATCTAATAATATAACCTACAGGTTTATTATTATCATTGTTATCGTTCATTCAGCTGTTAAGAATCCTCCTCAAGGTCTCCCCAGTGGCGCAGTGGTTGAGCGCCGGGTTGCGAGGCTGCCCGCGGCCTCTGCTGCATCAGTTCGATCCCCGGCTACTCCCTGGCCACCAGAGGAGGGTCCCACATGGCGCACAGACCTCTCCTGCTGCCCGCTGCTCCCCTCAACAGTGTACTTCGTCAGTCTGCCTGTTCTGTTCCCCGCTCTGGTTCTGGTGAATTCTCTCACCCTCCCGCGTTTCTGACTGCACCCAGTGCTTGTATAAATAAATAAATCTTTAAAAAAATTTTTTTTAAAGCTAAAAAAACCCCAATAAAACAATATTAAAAAAAAAAAAAAAGGGAATCCTCCTCAGAGATGCCGGGGAAAGCACTTACCTGGAGAAGTGGTGACTAGTGGAGGCCTGGGGGAAGGTGAAAGACAAGGTCCAGGCACTGTGGCCTGCACAGTGAGGTTAAGGTTGAAGGTTCCATTGAGCACGTATGTGTGATTCCAAGTATCACTGCTGGAAACAAATAGACCAGTGTTGTCCCCAAAGTTCCACCTGTAGTCAATGGCAGACTTATTGAGGAAATGGCTGGGGTCATGAACCAGGACATTGAAAATAATAGGGAGGTTCCTGAGGAAGGTTTCATCAGATGAATTTCGGTTGTTCTTCTGGGACATCGTCACAAATATGGGAATCTGATCTAAAAAGGTACATTCAGAAAAGAGTGATTTTAAGTAGATGATGTCAATGGTGTTTTTTGGTTTAAAAAATAAAATTAGGGATAATTCAGCATTATTTTTCTTTCTATATTCAGTTTTTCTAGGGTTTCCCCTAGTTATTCTGGAAGTCATAGGTTATACACAATATAATTAAATAGATGACCTTGGGAAAGAGCCAGATGAGTCAAAATCTAGCACAGAACGTTGGTTCTACTTTTTTCTCATAATCACTAACATCACCAGGACTCTGTGTCTCATCCTTAGCTAACTCAGAGTTTACGCCACTCACCTGTCACCACATACACATCTTTCACTTTTGCAATGGGAACATATGTCCTGCCGTGTCTTCTGTAAACAGTGACATCCATGACTTGAGGGCCAAGTGTCACGTTGGCTGTGTTTATAGAAACTCTCGCTGAACACCGTCCCAATTTCTGGAAATACTGACCTTTGAGAGGATGGAAAATTTTAGTTATTGGCTATGTTACATGATGCTTCAAGGAAGTTGTTTCTTAGAGACTAGTGAGTGCCACTTAGAGATGGTTCTGGAAGGGAGAAAACAGGAATGGGAATATAGTCCTGGTTCCTTGAGAAAGGAAGATGGTGCTCATTTTATATCAATGCTGATAAAGCACACTCACAGGTAAATGTAATTATATATACTTAGTTAAAATGGAAAGAGCTGTTGCAGGATAGTACAGTTAGGTATCATTTTAGAAATACTACAAGTGGCTAACAGTTGAAATACATGTGTTTCCTACAGAAAATATACTTAATGAAAGTATGTCGAGTATCTAAGAGAGCTAAGAAATTTACCCAAAAATCTACTGTAGTTTTTTTTAACAATAACACAGTTTTAGCTGTATTATTAAACTATTTTTTTGAGGGGGGAATAGTATCCTCCACACCTTTAATAATATTTGTTCATAATAATGTAACACATAATGAAAAATAAATAGTATATAAAAAGGAGTGAAGTGACTCTATAAACACATTTCTAGGACACTCTTCAGTCGTTTTTTTTTTCCTTTTTCTAATTTTTTCTGTATCTAACTCACTGCATAGCTAGTGAAAGTAATTTCTCTCCTTCAGGGCGCAAAGATTTTTTCAGTCCTTGCAAGACACTCAATGTAGGTCTATCACTGGAAGAACAGGTATTGTAAGATGATGCTTGTGAGATGGGGATGTTTAAAGACCATGTTTATCATATCTTCAAGTATGTTGGAAAAATATTCTGGTCCTGTAAGGGGTATGTAATGTGGAATCCCTCTCCCCTTATCTTGAAATGCAGAGGCAGTTCTGTGGGTAGTTGTCACCCAGAGGATTAATTATAAAGGAGGAAAATGTTAGTTTGGGCACTGAGAGACTACAGAGGTAGTGTTTGGTTGAGGGAAAATGTCAGTTAACTCTAAGACTGCAGTAAAAGATGGGAACTCAGAATAGTCTTGTTAAAAAAACAGAGTAATTTCTGGGATGAGGGCTGGTTTTAAATAAAGACATCTTATTAGTTAAGTTAATGGATATTAACTAGCCTAAAATGAATCTGGAGTGTTAGTGAGCCTAAGTGTCAGAATTCTGTTATGGAGTGATAGGTCTATTAAATCAAGGTGTTTGTTCGTTGACTGATAGCATTATGATAGTAATTTCTTTTTAAAAAGTCAGCTTTAAAGCAACTGATTTAGATAGATGAACATAATATTTGACATACTTTCTACTTTGTTCACCTGGATTATATTATATTTGCTTTGATTTGTAACTAAGTTAATTGACGCAAGAAAAGCTTTCTCTAATTTTCAACAAAAGACATTTAGAAATTTGGATGCTGCATGATTGTTAGCAATTTTCAAAGGCTCAGAGCCATGTGTACTTGGTAACAGTTTAAACTAAGAACTTAGCATCTTTGCTAATAATAATCTAGATGTGTTCTTCCTAAAAATAGTTACTACAGCAGTAATACAGCAAAGTGTATGCCATTTGTAGTTAAAAAGTAAAAAAGAGGGTAGGCTATGTCAAAGAATAACAGTGATTAGAGTGTTTTATTTCTGTACACTAGAATATGGCACAGTTATTAAAAGAATGTATAATTTTAATGATAATCAAGGCTCATAAAACTGAGCAAAAGTGCGTATCCATTATGATCTCCATCAAAAATACTAGTAAACACCGCAGTGATAATGATATCTCTGGTGCTAATTAGGGATGACTTATTTTTCATTTGTACTTTTCTGCATTTTCCTACAAAGGACAGAAGTGTTCTTAATTGTTAAAAATTCTAAAAACAAAAAAATTAAATAAACCAACAAATTTTCATCCATGTGCCATTCAAGTAAATAAATGTCAACATTTTGTCAAGTTACTGTTTTAGACAGAAAAAAAAAGCTGAGTAGTTTTGTTTTAAGTGAGAAAGCTGAATTCCTTTTCTTTCCCCTTTTAAATTCTTTGGTGTCCTGGACATTTGGCCAAGCTAACCATGATTTTATTTTCATCCCTCGCTCTTTACCCCACCTCAGGAAAGTTAACGGAGGAAGGATTGTTAAGGCTCAAGAGTTCTAATTCCTGACTATAGGATAAAAGGAAGTAGCTAAACATTTAAGAGAAGCTAAAGAAGCTAAGGGGAGTTATAAAAGTCCAACCAAGTGTGTGAAAGACGTAGACAAAATTCCATTTCTTCCATCCAGGGGGGCGAGGGAAAGGTTTCCCATCAGGAAACACGTTGTGATGGCCATGGCTGCTGCCATTTCCCCAGTCGCTGTCCTCTGCCCATGCTGTCCAGTTGTAAACATACTGCTCGGGAGACGGGCCGGTATCTAACCAGGAAAGAAATAAGCCAGGCTTGTTTTCAGGACTAAAAATGCCCAGTGGTCATCACTGAATAAAATACCTTTTCTTATTATAGTTTTTCTTAACCAGTTTAAATATAGTGGTACAAACAAAAACTTCATATTCAGGATTCATCCAACGGTACATTTATGACCTGTATATTTTTATATCCATGTCTATGATTCAATAAAAGTTTTCTATAAAGCAATTATCCAGGAAGTTTAATTCTAGAGATATCACTTAATATATCTTCACATTGCATCAAATCACAAACATATTAAGACAAACTAAGGGATGCTCTAATTTTTTTATTTTGATCTACTCTGTATTTATTCTACTTGTAGTTCTTCCCCTGACTCATTTGATATCATGAGTCTCTAATCCTAAAGACTTGACTACCATGTCCCCCTAGAATTGGAGGGAAATTATTGATGTAAACTCAGCATCATTATCACCCCTGCCACGGTCAAAGCAGGGTCATATACCACATCGGGCTATTTTCTCTCTTCAAGTATTTCAGAAAAGGAAGAGGGAGAAGAGGGAGAAGGAGAGGGAGCAATGAAAAGAGGAATGTAGGAGGGGAGGCAGGGAGGGAAGGAGAAAGGGAGGAAGGAATACAGCAAACTGTTCAAATTGTTGAATCTACATAGAGGGTATTTGGGTGTTCAATGTACACTGCTTTCTACCTTTCTGTATGAAAAATTTTACTTTAAATATGTCATGATCAGTATCTTTTCATCTAGAACAGTCCCTTCACCCTCCTGATTTTTTTGTTACTGACATATTGGAAAAGCCTTTAAATCAATCTCTTAGAGTCATTATTACTTTTGATTCTCAAATTACCCCAAATGTATCAGTAGGAGTCCCTTCAAGCTGGCTTCTGTGCCAGGTGACATATGAGTATTAGCTTTTGAGTACTTTCTTGTTTGCTAGCACAACAGGATGTCCCAGGCTCACCTGGTACTTTCCTTGCCCTAGCCCTGGAACAGTCATTTCTTCAAAGAGCACTTGTTCCTTTTAGTGGGGTAGATATTTCATAAAAATTTTTCTTAAGTCACAAAGATGTTTTCATATAAAAATGCTCAAAGGCTTAAAGTTTCATAGATTGTCATTCAAAATATTCATAATAATCAGCTACTTTTTAAAAAAGGAAAAAGAAAATAATCCCACAAAAGATAAAACACTTAAAATATCAAAGCCTTCCCCTGAGTCAAATATTTTTCTCATAAAAAGATGAGAAATGAATAAGGAATAAACACATTGACAGCTTAATAAATAATAAAATCAAATCATAAAATATATAATTGCCCTGTGACTGATCAAAGAATCTAAGTAATGAGCTCAGTTTTTGGTTTTTAGAGTGGACAGTTCTAACAAGATAATTTCACTTGAAATGGTTGTATTCTCCCTAACACACACAAAGAGCTTATCTGCTTAACTAAGAGCACAATACACACATTTTTAGCATTTGAGTTACACACATTTACTTAAATATTTGTGAGCAGACATTGTGACCAGCAACATCTGTCAAATTGGTTATTCTTTGAGCAGTCAAAAAGATTGCAATGATAAAACTAAAAACTGAGACCCAACAAGGTGTTCTCTGTCCAATCAATAGGACACAAAGAAAAAGCTGGTGTGATGGTGCAGGCTTTGAAGAGGGCTTAACAGCCACTTGTGAGTCCCAGTGGGTTTGGTGGCTGCTGACACAAGTGAACAGAGCTGTGGCTCACTCTCCCAGTCATCCATCTTGAAGAAGGGACTCAGCAAGGAACCATAGCAACATTTTCCATTTATAGAAGTACCTGTGAGCGTGACGGTTTATGAGATGGGTCTCCAGTAGTTAAAAGAACTAGCATGTTCCTGTGGCTTGAATAACATTCCTTACCATTTCTGCAGTTCTCCTCATAGACTATGTTGCCATCGGCATCTTCCTTTTGGCATCTGGGAAATACCAGGTTCACCACAAATGATATAGTTGAGCCTACCAGTGCAGGTGAGTCACTGGTCAGAGATGCCTGCACATGGCCTCCTAGGGCACAAAAAGTGGAGAAGGTGATGAAGCATCCTCATTCACCTCTCACTGTTAAACAAGATAGAGTTAAACCTACTAATAAGGACCAGGGGACCCTGTGTCTTTCATGATACATTAATTTATTTTCTGGCTTTCTAACTTAGTTTCTAGAACACAACAAATTAAAAAGGTGAAGAAAAAAAAAGAAATCAAACCAGTAAAGAATTCTCTAACCACTCAAAGAAATTTTACTTCAAATTAAAAAGTCTGCACCATTGTACTGAAGAGACATGCATTAAAGATTTGTATTTTTTAGTCTCAAAACCATGATTGAAGGCCATATTCTTCCATGCAAATGGGGAAGATAATCACTTTCCAATAGACCACACTTTTGAGGTGGTCACTTATTGTTCTGAAGATGATCACACCCTTGTTAGTTAAATAGGTTTGAGGATAAACCTCTTGCTCTTCAAAATATTTCAAGAACTAACCTTTGTATATTTCTAATGAAATTAAACATTGTTTTGTGGCTTAGAAAGTGGTAGTGTTAGGACAAAGGAAAGTTGGCCAAAGCAAGGCACCCTCCCATTTGGAAACAAGAATACTGTCACTCATAGAAGCTTCATGAGCCATGTGACCTCAAAGACTATAGTCTTGGTGACTTGCTAAAATGGAAAGTTACATTTGTTTGTGTTAAATCTTTTGATTTACCTTTCCAGGAATGTTTCCACCTTGAGTCTCCCCTCTTCCACACTGGATAGAGTTTTTCATTCCAATCATTTTCATCTGAGGACCAGCCATTTAATTGGCTTTGCTCCATCATATAACTAGAAGGTCTTTCATTGCCCAGCACATCCTGAAAGCCTGTATCAATATTGAAGGAAAAAACTCCAAATTATTTGGTCTCTTCCACGCTTCACTTCATATTTATCTTACTGTTTAAAGCAACTTTTTATTTCATAAGGTTGGAAAGCATAAGTTCTTTCAAATATGTCAAGCAATTGAAGGGTATTTAAAAAATGTCTACTGGAAATATCTTGAATCCAAGCATTCAGACCCTATCATTTTATGTACTTTAAATGAATCAAGGAAAATATTTGAAAGTAGCTATTTCTTGGCCACCATTTGGTTTTGCAATGCACATCCTCTGATATTTGGAATTCATCCAAAAATCAATAGGAAAACACCGATGCCAATGATCTTCTGGTCAGTTTTTGCATCTGCTCCCATTCTGAACTGTTCCACTTGGCCAAAGGAATTCCAGGCTCAGGAATGCCTCCAGGGGTCCAGGAGATGCATACAGTACTGGAGCTCCCTGTGGAGCACTCTAGTTTTTTATGACCCAGCATCTCACCTGTCTTGAGGATTGCTCCACCTGTACTTGCATAATCTACATTTGTTGGGGAGAGTGGTTTTTTTTTTTTTTTTTTTTTATTTTTTTTTTTATAGAGGCATGTTTTATTTATTTGTTTGTTTGTTTGTTTTTTTTGTTTATACATGCACTGGGTACAGTCAGAAGCACGGGAGGGCGAGAGAATTCACCAGAGCCAGAGCGGGGAGCAGAGCAGGCAGAAGGACCGAAGTACACTGCTGAGGGGAGCAGCGGGCGGCAGGAGAGGTCTGCGCGCCATGTGGGACCCTCCTCCAGTGGCCGGGGAGCAGCCGGGGATAGAACCGGCGCCGCAGAGGCCGCGGGCAGCTTCGCAACCCAGCGCTCAACCACTGTGCCACCGGGCAGGCCCGAGAGTGGTTTTTCTTTAATGACATTTATTTCAAGTTGTCTTTTTTTCTTGAGACTCCTATGTCTCTTTGTATTATTTCAACTGCATGTGAATCTACAATGACCTCAAACTGAGTAGCTAAATTTTTTTAAAAAAGAATACAACAAACTCAGTAGTAAGCAGACTTTAAGATAAAAAAGAGTGTGTGTGTGTGTGTGTGTGTGTGTGTGTGTGTGTGTGTATAGTGGTGAGGAAGATGTGAAGGTAAGTAGAATCATATGTAGCCCTGCCAAGGCTTTTCCTCTATGCTGCTTGCTCTGCCAACCAGCAGAGAGTTGTCCGGACTACTTGTTACATACTTTGTCAACACCTTCTCTTTCCTCCTTTTTACAAGGGCTGTGAATGGAAAGAGGCAAGAATCCCTGGGTGTCTGATAGACCACTAAATCCCAACCATTCTTATTTTTTTCTTGCCAGAGTATTTAATGCAGGGCAACAGAAAGCTAGGAGTGCTCAGATTTTGCTACTTTGCCTCCTCAAGGGTGGGGACTCTTCTCAAGCCCACAGCAGAGATTCAATCTCAAGCTAATCTGTTTACTGAGAGAAGAGGGGCTGCTGGAAAGAAGGGGATAATTAGATGCACATTGAAGCCAGTTCTCCATCTTCCCAGACTGCAGACTCTATGGGAGATGCATTGAGGTAAGACAAATGTTACCATGTACATCTCTCACCCCAAGCACCTCTCACCCCGCCTTGTCCCCCTCCCTACAACCTCAGCCACAAGAGACTTGGGGTGTGCTATCTCTAGGGCAGCAGGGGAAAGGACTCAGCCATCAGAGAAGAATGGGCAGAGCCTCTAGTCCCTCCCCTCCCCTTCTTACTTCTTGCCTGCAGCCCTAGGGACTCTGGGCTTCCTGCTTCTCCTTCTCACACCACTGCACTGCCTGGGTTTTTCTATGTTAGAAAACCCTCAGACACAGATGTTCCAGGGTTACTCACAGCTCCCCCCTCTTTCTTTCTCCACCCAGCACGGCCAGCCAGGGACCAGCTCTGCAAGCACAACTTAATTAAAGCACTTTCCTCTCCAAAGGTCACGGAATGGAGGAGGGTGCCTCAGGCTGTGTGTCCAGAATCCTCTCTTACAACTGTGCAGAGCAGGTAAAAAGCAAGACCTGGGCTCTTCATTCCCTCAAGTAAGTGGACCACTTGCTCTACCGAGGTGGCTGTGGGGTTTACCTGAGTCCTGTCAGCAGTCAGGGCAGCCAGCACACAGTGGGCTGGGGGATGTAGTGCTGGTCCTTTCTGAGCTGGTCCCTCCGCAGCTCTTACCTCCCCCACTGGAGTTGTCTGGCGGAATCAGCCCCTTGGACTTTTTACCCAGTGAGTGTTACACCCCTGTTGGAGTAGGAGGGTGGACCTTCTGGGTGATATATCCCTTCACTCCTCCCTTCTACTATCTGGCAAGAAAGTAGGCGGCAATTGGGAAGGAAAAACTTCCTAAGACAGGGGTTCCCACGATTTCACTCTCCATATACCTGAGGCAAAGAATGGAGCTGGAGGTGTGCTGTGGTTTCTACATTCCCAACAGTTTCCACGAGAAAGGAGTGAGTATGGAAGCTTCCCGAAGAGATTCTTGAAGCCCAACTTCTGACTCAGACAATGTTGCTTCAGACAACCATCATTTCAACCAGTAGCCAGAGAATGGGTTAAACACAGAAAACAGTGTGTCACTCACGTTTGGCGGCATCCAGTGGCCATCTTGCAGCCAGAAGCAGAAATCCCAGGAAACAGTAGAGACAGTCCATGCTGGATTCTCCCAGACCCGGGCATGGATTTAACTTAACTCCTCTGGCTCCATCCACTAAGAACAGCTGCTCTTCTGGCCTCTGCTGTGCCCACCTCCTCCTTTTAATTAAATGCAGGGCCTCAGGCAGATCATGTGATAGTATTAAGCAGCACTGCCTGATCTGGTCTCTTGAGTTCAACCTCTCACAACTCATGTGCTTCTGACTCACTCACTCCTAGCAGCTATTTATTCATTTTTCACACGTACACCATTTCATTGATGTGATTCCACATTTCTAGGTAAAGGGGGCTTCCTTTCCTCTGGACCCTACTTTTGTATCTTTCACCAAATAAAATTTCAATCTCCAACTTCATTGATTATCCACTTGCTGTGGTTCCTTTACTGATTCACTCACCCAGTTCATGTTGAGATGTCACAATTTTGTTTCTTTTGCTATAAATTAGATGAGCATCTCCTTCCAATGCTAGTAGCTATGCAAGTACATTCTCTTCTCCCAAGAAGAGACAAAGATGGGGGAGAGAGCTGTAAATCACTGGAAATTGTGTGTTACATATATGGACACTAACCTATATATTGTGCCAAAATGTGCTTGAAACAGCTGCAGAGGTCTGTGGTAGCTGAGAGATTTACTCAAAAGTACAGTTAAGATATCTAGCAAGCCCATATAAGTTTTGGAATAATTTACATCATTTTTGGTAACTACTGTCAAAATATTTATGTTTTGTATCACTCAGGACCAATTACATAAAATGCGTGGCATATTTACTTCATGTTACAGAAAGGAGGCGTTTAGTGTAAAGACACGCATGGGTAGGACATAAATTGCATACAATCAAAACAGTTGTGGTTACAGAAGGGCATAAAATGTGGCAACACATTGTGCTTGTGATTTTGGTCTGAGGCACATCCACATGACTATTTTCAGTTCATTTATAAGTTCTGTTTGGGGGTAAAATTTGAAGCATTGACTGAGTTTCAGTTGTGCTAATGAGGAATAGAAAGAAATAGTCTGTGAAACTGAAATTTATGGTGAAACTGAAATTTATGATGTGAATGGCCACCTCCCTACTCTAAGGCACACACAGCTATTTAGAGCTCCTTTTGGCCTTTGAAGCAATTGTGAAGGGAAAAGCAGCAAAGGGAACATATTATTCACAACTGAAACAAAACTGTTATCAAATACAGATGAATACACAAATAGAAATATTTATTACTTTTATGTAATGTTAACGTTAGTGTAAAATTATAAATAAATTAAAAAAACCCTTTGTATAGGGGAAACTTACCATTTATATATTTTTTAAGTATTACTGTCCTTTGTCCCTGACAATGAGTTCTGGCTTATATCTTTGGCCAAATTAGCTACCTCTTTCTCTAAATAAATTGTAAGTTTCAAATTCTCCTGTAACAAAATCTTTCTTAATAGGGAGACAGTGATCAAATCATCTTTTTATGACTTCTCTCCTTCCTTGCCCCACTGAGGGGAGATGGTGTAACCAGGCCACCAGGCAGCTGGATTGCCAGGGACAGGGAGCTAGAAAGCAGAATTTCTTAATTCCCAGTTATTACAAATTGGACAATCTGTTTCTTGATAATCAACAGTTGACAAAATACAAATTAGTTTACTTTGTAGAACTCATATATAAGGTTATTTTGGATGAGGAATATATTCAAGGTTTTTTTTTAAAAAAATAAAATCATATTGCGAAACAGTTTGAAGTAGTTCATTGAAAAAAGAGAAACATCACAATTGCTTGGTGTTATTGACATGATTCTTCTGTTCTAAAATGATGTCAAAAAATGCAATAGTCAGCTTTTGAGAATGTCCTAACAAGTGTCTAAGTGTCCTGGTTGACACCTCCCGAGGCCACACTCCCAACCTGAGAAGCAGCAGCACCTGAGATGTTTTGACTGTAGCAGCCCCCCAAACAGGGCCATGTGGCAGGGCAGGCTGTGGAGGGAGGAAGGCAGATAGCATCTTTGATTTTAAGAACAGGTCAGTTCAAACTGGTGTTTTGAAGCAAGATAATTAAAATCAAGAGTCAGCACCATGAAGTTATCCGCAACTACTGCAGCACAAGTTTGATCCCCATTTCTTATAAACGGCTACTGCGTAGGTCCCCTATTGCCACTGTAGCAAATGCAGAAATTTGGAGCCTTAAGACAACACAAATTTCCTGTCTTAAATGCCGGAAGTCAGAATTCAGAGAAGTCGCACTGAGCTAAAATAAAAATGTCCGCAGGGAGGCTCTAGTGAAGAATCTGTAATCTTGCTTTTCCCAGTTTTTAGAGGCTTCCCTCATTTCCTGGTTCCATCTTCAAAGTCAGGCCCCGCAAGTCTTCCTCACATCAACTCACTCTGCACAGATTCTCTTTCCTTCCTCTTTCTTATTAGGACCCTTGTGATTACCTTGAGCTCACCTGGATAATCCAGACTAATCTCCTTGTCTTCAAGTCAGTTGGTTAGCAACCTTAATACTTCTTTACCAGGTAGCCTCTTCCCAGCTTCAGGGGATTAAGATGTGGCTGTGGCGGGAGGGGGCATTGTTCTGCCCACCTCAATTATACAGCAGGTGACTTAGCAAAATATTCTATTTATGAAGAAGAGTGTGGGATGAGAGCAGTAATGGGAAGTGCCTCCCCAAAGTTACAGACTTGTTGAAACATAGCCTTTGATATTTGGCAGAGTGTCAAGGCAAGAATAAACTAAAGATAAAGGAATCAGTTCAAAGAGAGAGAAAGCCCATGTGACTGCCTTGTCCTAATGTGGGCCTTTTAACGATGTTATAATCAGAGTCACGGTTTTCAGATTTAAGTATTAACAAATGACTCAGAGCCTTCTGTTTTGTGTCTAGTTCTCTGCCCTCTCCTGTCTGGGCATTCTCCGCATGAATAGGTAATTAAATTCCCTTGTTTCCAGGCTGATTGAAATTTTATTTATTTATTTATTTATTTTATTTATTTATTTTTTTAAATAATAAATTTTATTTTTATATTCCCCCATACAATTGCAAACGCCCCATTCTGACCCCAATCCTTCCCCTCCCGCCCCCCACCCCCCTGATTGAAATTTTAAATGACTCTTTCCATAAAGTATTTTCCCTTGTTTTTCAATGAAAGATAAGAAAACAAACCCCCATGGTCTGTGTGTCCTTTGGTGTCTCAGAGATGTGGCAGCAGCCAGTGTTAACCTGATTTACACCTGAAGGAATTGGGTGCTGGATTCAGGCAAAGGAGTTTTCTTCTTGAAGTGCTGACTGCAAACATTTTTTGACATGATTCCTCCTATGGAGTTACTGGTCCCATTTAAAATTAGAAGGAGCAGTAGGTGAGTTTTAGCTTTGTTTTAAAAATATTTTCTCTCTAGGGGCCTCCCTGGTGGCGCAAGGAGTTAAGCACTGCACTATGAAGTAATCTGCAGCCTCTGCAGCATGAGTTCAATCCCCGGCAGGCCAGGGAGCAACCCACATGGTGCAGCAGACCTCTCCTGACTCGCCTGCTGCTCCCCTCAGCAGTGTACTTCAGTTAGTTTACCTGTTCTGTTCCCCACTATCTCTGGTTAATTCTCTCACCCCCCCACATCTCTGGCCTGTACCCCAGCTCTTGTATGCATAAATAAATAAATGAAAAACAATAAAAATACTTTCTCTAAGTTATTAGTGTGGATTGTGAGACATGAAAGTTTATTGTATGAACACAGATGCAATGAAGTTTGTGTTTCTTGTATTTTGGTTTTTTTAAAATATTTATTTATTTATACAAGCACTGGGTACAGTCAGAAGCGCGGGAGGGTGAAAGAACTCACCAGAGCCAGAGCGGGGAACAGAACAGGCAGACTGACAAAGTACACTGCTGAGGGGAGCAGTGGGCGGCAGGAGAGGTCTGTGCACCATGTGGGATCCTCTCCGGGGGTCGGGGATTGAACCGGCACTACAGAGACTGCAGGCAGCTTCGGAGCCCATCACTCAACCGCTGTGCCACCAGAGGAGGCCCTGTTTCTTGTTTTTTTTAAAGATTTATTTATTCATACAAGAACTGGGGTTTAGGACCTCCCCTGGTGGCGTAGCAGTTGAGCGCTGGGCTGCGAAGCTGCCGGTAGCCTCTGCAGCACCAGTTCCATCCCCGGCCTCTTGTGAGGGTCCCACATGGTGCGACAGACCTCTCCTGCCACCCACTGCTCCCCTCAGCAGTGTAGTTCATCAGTTTGCCTGTTCTGCTCCCCACTCTGGCTCTGGTGAATTCTCTCACCCTCCCGCGCTTCTGACTGTGCCCAGTGCTTGTATAAATGAATAAATTAATCTTAAAAAAAAAAAAAGAAGTAGCAAACATCCTAAAAAAAAAAAAAAAAGAACTGGGGTGTAGACCAGAGGTATGGGGGGGTGAGAGGATTCACTAGAGACAGAGTGGGGAGCAGAACAGGTGGATCTACTGAAATACACTGTTGAGGGGAGCAGTGGGCGGAGAGGTCTGCTGTGCCATATGTGGGTCAGCTCCCTGCCTGGGGATCGAACTCATGCTGCAGTGGCTGGCGATAGTTTGATAGTGCTGAGACTTTAACCCCTGCACCAGGGAGGCCCTGTGTTTCTTCTTTTCTCCCTTTGGTGCCCATAGAACAGGGGGCAGAAGGGAGGAATGAATGGGCCCTGAGGAGAGAAGAAGAAGGGAGGGGGCCAGAATAGAAATCTTTCAAACACAAGAAACAGAGAAGTTGACATAATCAACCTCCATGTTCCTATCCCTGCTTCAGTGATCCTCAGTGTATGGACAATCCTGTTTCGTTCATCCTCTCCCCACGCAGTTATCTGTTGATTATCTTAAAACCAATCCTAAACATCACTGGCTTCTGAAATTTAAACTAAATCAAATACTTAGAGAAAAGGCGAAGGAAGCAGAGAAGTCTTTATGGAGAAAGTATGTCCTCACTTGTTTCTTGACTGATGAGTTAAATTGAATAAACACAGGGCCTCCCCAGTGGTGCAGTGGTTGAGCGCTGGGTTGCAAAGCTGCCTGCAGCCTCTGCAGTACTGGTTTGTTCCCCGGCCGCCGGCGAGGGCCCCACATGGCGCGACAGGCCTCTCCTGCTGCGCCCGCT